AAAATCTTCAAACTCTGTGTTATTTGAAAAGCTTTTAATTTGATGGACAGAAAGTAAAGCCAAGTCCTGCAAATAGATAAGACAAAGCAGTAGGGACCTCTTGAAAAAATAAAAAACAACCAATAAACAGCTGCCATCAGCAGTGAAGACGTCTTCATATACTATTATGATTTGAATTGCATTAACCAAAGTAAGCCAGTGCAGGCCTGTCTTATTATTTTTGAATTGTAGCTGCATGTCTATCGTCAGGGAAGCCCTTTCCGTTTCTGTGTACACAACTGCTAACAATATAATTCTGGGTGTAGCTAAATGGCAGGAAAATGTTGTTGACTGTGATTTTCTTAAAATAGTTCAATAAAAAGTGATTGAATTTAAAAATGGAAAGAATACGAAAAAGAAAGTTCTAAGTTTTTACTTCTTGTTTCCTCTTTTGCATTTGTGGCCAGATGTTTTCATACATTCGTCACTGGCATGAATGTCACATTAATTTTGGGCTGAACCATTCGTTTTCCAGGTTGGAATGACTTTACAGCATACGTATTTAATGATATATTTTTTTAAAACAAAGAATTGGGTGCACAAGTTGGATTTCCTCTAAACCACACAGAGTCAACAGTATACATAACCCCCCTAATATTTAGTTTACCTTGACCAGATGCCGAAAACAAGCTTCAGACATAATTCTAGCTTTTCTCTCTCATCTTGGCAGTATTAGTAGCGTTCATATAAGTTGGCTGTTGGAATTCACAATTGATGGTTCACTAAAAGCAGTTTTGCTGAGGACTAAAGATGAATGATGTGCTCAAACAGAGTGGTCAGTTTATAGAACAGAAATATGCAATACATCTTTGTGTAAAGTAAGTGAGCATGAAAAATACAAATGTTAACAGAATTAGCATGAATTGTGAGCTCAAATTCTTTCAAAGTATTTTGGGATTTTGCACATGGGTTTGTATCTGTATTAGATCAGCAGCAACTTCTCCACAATCTTGGGCTTACATCTTTACGGTCTGCGTCAGCATCTGGCTCATAATTAGAGTGTGTTTTGCGTCACCGGTCTTTCGAATGTAAAAACACAAATGAAGGGTGAATTTGAAAGGAGAAAGAAACAAAGCCCACCGTGACATGGGAAGGTGAAAATACGTGGTGGCTTATTTAATAATTTAGTGATTATTATTTCCATGACTTCAGTACCTGAATCACTCAGTTAAAATAAAACAAGAACCAGCAGGAAGGAAGTGCCGTACAAATATGGAAAATCTGTGTAGGCACAGAAATCTTTTCTTTTTTTCCCCATCTATTGCATTTTTTTTTTATCTACTCTTACTTGGCCCTTTGAAACATGTCAACAGACACAAGTGCGCAGCATTCATCCATATGCTAAATATGACCTTTTTCATAATCTAATTCAGCTTTGGGAGCTTTTCCAAGATCTCTTGAGATCTGATTTGACCTCCACTTTAAACTCAGATCTTTTACCGCTAACATCTGCTTCCAATTAGGAAGACAAAGAAAGATGAAAACAACCAAGTTCAAACACCTTTGAACTTCACATGTTTCGTAATTCTGGTGAAGACAAAGTAATGTCATTATTCAGCCACTCTGTAGGGAAACATGAGGTTTGTTTTTTTTATGCTCTCTTCCTGAAAAGGAATTTTCACATCAGTAAATTCCTTTGTCCTAAATCTGAAATGGCATTTTCTGAGCAGAAAACAAAGCACAAGCTGATGTGAGATGCGTCATATGTTTTACAGGAAAACTGCTTTGACATTCAACTGAAAGTAAAAAGATGCTCATCAGGTAAGAAGGTTTATATTCATGTCCACTCACTGCCTCTACTGTATTTAAAAACAGCTGGCTCATAGGCTATTATTCTCTTTAGAAAAGAAAAGGAAAAATACTGTTCAAGCAACATTTAGCTAGACTTTGTTTTCATAGCAGCCTTTTTTTTTTTTAACAATTCACAGACCAATGTAAGCAATATATTTTGATACTTCACTTAATGGCACACCATTTCTAAATAGGAGTGTTTCTTGTATTTTTAAACTTGCCAAGCAGCCAAGTCAAGAAAAATGCAATCGTGGGGTTCACACATCTGTTTCATAGTCCGTCTTTTTTTACTTCCATTTTTAATTTGGACTATGCGCACAGTCAGGGACCATTCCAGGTCCCTATAACCTCTAACAGCATAAAAACAGCAGAAAGATGCAGAAGTGGAGGTACTAGTTCCAACTACCTGTGTCAGGACACCTATTAGTCAATGCAACACCTCTAGCTCCAGCAGCCAGGTGGATAAATTATATAAAATGTTAGCCCTCCTCACTCTTGCTATGAGGGGTTAAGCTAACCATAGATTCAAAACAATTTGGGGCATTTTAACGTAAAACTCTGTGGAATTACTCAGTTTTTGGCGCTAACCTCAAGCAGCCAGATTGGCTTAATTTATCAGTTTCCAGAGTTTTGTGAGTAAAAATGTTTACTCACTTGCAAAGAGTTACATAGCACTCGTCTTTCTTCGGGTCCACCACTTGCTGGTGATGCACCAATACTTGCGTCAGATGACAGTCAAAGGTTAGTTGGAAAAGCAAGTAGAAACAGGATTTGCTTTTCTTCTTGGAAAATTTGAGCCATTCACTCATCAGAGGCTATGCAGCACAATTTTTTAGGGGTTTTCTTACATTTAAAAACACTGCTGTGTCACCGTAATGGATGGAGTCTGCTCAGTGCACTACATATGGCTTATTTAACTAGTCAAAAATACACAACAGTAGTTGTTATAGTTCTACTAATATTTACATGCACTGCCAGAACCTTAGACTGTTAAGTCAAGGTTAGTGGGGCCGCTTCGACTTTCCAAGTTGCAAATCCGACTTGAGGGCATGTTCCAGTTGAAAATTACCAGTGGGAATTCAAACATTCTGGATTGCAAATTCAAATCAAACAGACTCCGAGGTCTTGGTGGTTTGATCCCAAGGTCTCCTGTCAATCAGTGTTAATAATCTGTTTGTCCATCCAGCTGTCCATAATTCTTCCTGTCATTACACATCTAATCATTTCATCCAGCTGTTCTCCCACTCATAATCATTATCAGCCTTCTAGTATCCATTCTGTCTACCAGTTATCTATCCATTCACCCACTCACTCATTTATTATCCAAAATATCATTCCCTACTCTACTTATCTATTCATCTACCAATCACCCACCTACAGTCCTCTCACTAATCTGTCCATCATACAGCATTCTTCATTTTTCCAGTATTTTGCCATCCATTATTTCTTATTTTGAGTACATATTTCATCTGAACTGTAGTTGCCAGATCCATCTAGTCATTAATTAAGATCATACAAGCAAACACCTACAGCTTTGATTGTAAACCAAAGCTTTGCTAAAGCTATTATAAACTGCTTATGTATCTAAATAAGCAGTTGTTTAAATTTACCAAGTGTTATGATCTTGGCGCCTCAGTTGCTATGTTCACAAACTCATCTGATGGTTTGAGGAATGTTTGCAAGTATGTCTGCATTTGTTTTTAGCTTCTTTGTGTGTTGTTTATTTAAAGTTGCTAGCCTGGTTTGCTTTATGGGCAAAGCAACTGTAAACAACTCAAGTGCTATCCAGATCTCAAGTTGGTAGTTAACAGTAAACTTTGTGTGGGAGGGAGGGAGGGAGGGAGGGAGGGAGTGCTTGAATGCTGGAGAGATGAAGTGAAACTGAGAAGGCTGAAACTGCATGTCTGTATTAGCTGTGTAAGTCTGCAAAACTCAACAAAGTATAACACAAGGAGAAACCTGATCTGCATTACTCTAACCATAATTGAAGCTTGGCACTTTGCTGTTATGAATATGACTGGTCAGCTACAGAAACAGCAACAGGAAGCAAGCGTGAATAGGATTACTCTGAGAGGAAAGTGAGCAGTGAAATGTAATTACTATGTTGCAATTTGTATTCATGGCTATTGTTTATGATGACTCTATTGTTAGTATCCTTTGTAGGTGTCACTGAAACAAACCATTAAGGACTAAAGTAATAGCACATGAGGGATGAGGGTTTTTATGTTTTTCAGCAAACATCTCATCCCAGCTATTTTCCTTTGATTTGCTGATGAAAACAGTGTGGCAAAATGAAATAACAGCTTCTAGTGTTAAATGTATTGCTCTCCGATCATTTCTCCTCAGTGGAATCCAAGCGCAGCCTGCACATACATCAGTCAAGAGAATGGCCAGTTAAGGAAGATATAATGATAACATGTGACTGTGTAAACCCTTTTATATGTTTTTGTTTGTATAGGCGTCATGTAAGAAACAATACATGTAGTAATACGTGGCCAACATGACATGGACAAATCAAAGTGAAGCACTGTTTCCAGAGCAAACACACTTGAAGGATTAACCTCTGTATTTACCCCCCGCCCTCTCCTAATCAGTATTTTACAGACTGTACAAATAAAACAGAAACTACAGCTTTCACAAATTAAGCATAAACCAGTGTGGAAGGGCTGAGGCTGCACCCATCACAAAATGCTCAGCCAGTGTGCACTGGCTCTCTCTCTGCATCGCTGGACTTGTGCTAAAGGCTGCATGAAATGTAAGCAAGCAGAGATTGAGGCTATTCAAAGCACCTTCATAAAAATGAATGTCAGACTCTGCCAAACCAAATACTTACACAAAAGACTGATTAAACATTTTGTTCTTAGCTCACATCAAGACGAAGTCTGTGTGTCAATCTAAGTGTGTGTGTGTGTGTGTGTGTGTGTGTGTGTGTGTGTGTGTGTGTGTGTGTGTGTGTGTGTGGTGGGAGCGTGGTCCACAAATGCTGTCAGTATCTTGTTCCTATTTCTTATATATAGACCAACCACAGTTAAGTTTACTTTAGCTCACTGCAGCCTAGACTCCAGGTATTATTTAAATGGTTCACAATGGATAAGTTAAGTTGTACCCCCATCTTTATTAGTGATTTATGATATATCAATCACTAAATATTTCGGTGCAAATGCACACTATCTTGAAATCTACACCATCTTAGAACGGGAAGGGTTAATAGTCACTAGAAAGCACCGAAATTCTATTGGATTTAAATACGGTTTTGCATCGGCTCTAAAGTGTCCTGTTGCTCAAGATGTCATCTGAGTCACAAGTGCAGTGGGAGGGACTATAGCCTAGACTGCATCGATCCGAAACCGGTTAGGAGGCACAACGACAACAGAGAAATAAAGTTTGAAGGAGAAGCGCCGCGCCAGCAGTCCTCCTCTCCGTCCGTGGATTCATTCTGTTTTTCCGACACTTCCAGCAGCGGTACATTTAAACCCAGCACACCAGAGCAGACTCGTGCTACCTTTAATGATTTACCGAAAGGGGAAGAAATAACTTTCAAGTACTTTTTATGTGTTGGGGGCTTTCTGTCAGATCCAGTAAAAGGTGAGTCAGTATTTCTTAGTAAAATTTGATATATTTTAAGCGTTTCAATGTGATGACGTAAGAAGAATCAGAAAAGTGTGGCTGTTTTGTATTTTGTGAAAACGTGGTTAGGGTTTCCCATAGATTATAGCTTTATGTTTATGAGAACTAAAGATATGTATTCGTTGTTTTCTTTGTTTGTTTTTGGTCCACAGAAAGATTTGAAAACTGTCTACAAGAAACAACCAGAGGAGGCTTCTGACATTTTGATTCAAAACAGGAGTATGAGTCTCACCACACGTCTCCTCTGTCTTACGTCTTGCCAAATGTTGCTGTCAAGAGGACAAGATTTTCTATTGATGTCTGGGAATTCCTTATTAATTCCACACTGAGGGGGTTATTATTTTCTTCTCAACAAGATGAACAATAGCATTGTTTCAAATGAACCATGTAACCATACCTGCATTGTGGGCCGTGATGGCAAACCGGCCACAAGTATCATCATGTTTCTGCTTGGTGTTGTCGGAAACCTCCTGGCTCTGTTTATCCTGGGAGTGCATCAGAAGGAGCATCGCTCCAGGTCCTCTGTGTTCTGCATCTTGGTAACCGGCCTGGCTCTCACAGATCTTCTGGGCACCTCCCTTCTAAGCCCACCTGTATTCATCTGTTATGCCCGTAATATGTCCCTTACAGACCTGGGCGGTAAAGGACTGTGTAACCTCTTCGGCTTTGCCATGAGTTTCTTCGGCCTTGCACCCACGCTCATCCTGTGCGCCATGGCTGTGGAACGCTGCCTGGCCATCAGCCACCCTTACTTCTACTCTGTACACATCCGCCGCAACTTTGCTAAATTTACCCTTCTCTTTATCTACCTATTTTCTGTGGCCTTCTGCCTACTGCCGTTCGTTAGTTATGGTAAATTCAGGCAGTACTGCCCTGGGACATGGTGCTTCATTGACATGGATGCGACTGAGGATGAACAGGCCAACTTGGTTTTGGCTTTCTCTCTGTCCTACTCCTCCCTCATGGCACTGCTGATCTTTGCAGTGTTCGTGTGCAACGGTTCCGTGATTATCACCCTTTGCAAGATGCACAAGAGCCATAAACTGCGCCGTGGCTCGGTCGGGTCAACGGGCAGAAAGAGGAGGCTGAGCCTGGCCTGGTTTGGCCAGGGAGAAGAGGAGATGGAACACCTGGTGCTGCTGGCGCTCATCACTGTCATCTTTGTGGTCTGCTCACTGCCTCTCACTGTGAGTCTATATTTGACCTTCCCTCTGTGCAAGCTACTGATATTATGTTGTTTTTCCTTTTAGTTTTACTACACAGTCACATTTGAAGGAGAGGTGACACACTGATTGCTTTTATGCAGTTTGCTGAAACATGACCACAGCTCCCCAGTGAAATGAAAAGAGGTTACAGCAGTTTACAGACAAAAAGGGGAAAGTTAAAGAAGGTTTAGTTATTGTTATCATCATTACTGGCCTGTAGTGGATGTTTTTGTGCACAATCTGCAGCGATGATAGACAAGTCTGATGTAATCTGTAAATAAGATGGATGGAGCCACCTGACTTCATGCATTGGTGAGTGCTTTTTAAGGCTCAATTTTAGCGTTGTGGTCTTTGCTTTGTTCCTTTTTTGGTGCAGGAAGTGAAAACATTCAGCCAAGAGGGTGAAGTGTGTCAGGCTGCAAAAATGCTTATGTCTGCAAAAGTCCAGGCATTCTGCATTGTAGTCTGAGGTTGGACTCACTTTTTGATCCTCAAGTGCCAATTTAAGGAACTGGAGATTTTGGCACCTCAGTGTTGGTAGGTGGTAGGTGCTCAGTAGGTGCTGTTTGGTGGCAGGCAAAGTTTACAGGAGTAAGGTCATTTTAGCCTCAGGGTTTCCTAACTTTGTGTGCATCTAATAAAGTGAATTCCTTTCCCCCCTTCTGTAATTATTATGGACATAGCAAGCTTTTGGTGGCATGGCGACGGTTGATGTTTTTGTAAGTTGTGGTATGTGTTTGTCTGCCCTGTTGAAGTCTCCTTAACGGTTGTGCTTTGCTAATGAAAGGTGTGTCCCTAATGGCAGCCTTTGCCACACAAAGCACACTGTCGCTGCTTGTGTGTTTGTGTTATGCATTTTTCTTCACAGCTCAGTATCTGCCTCTGTTTAAGAGGAGTGTGCCTACAACCTGACAACCCTGGCAGACTGGTCCGGCCCTGCCTTTCACAGAGGATGTGTGAATCGTGTTATAAAGGCATTCATGTGCTGTCATATGTATATTAGCCTTTTTTTAATTCTTAAACAGACGGTTTCATGATAAATTAGTTTACAGGAAGCTGAAAATGCATTTTGTCACGCTCGTGCTATTCACCGTCTACTCACCGTCTGCTTCGTGGTGGTTTGTGGTAACATTTGCCCTAAAGCTTTGACTAACCTAGGGTCCATGTGATTGTACTTGCCCTGAGTTATGGTTAAGAGTGACAGGGATGACGATACATACTCGTTCACACTCTGAGTAAGATTCCAGGAAACTCCAACTGCACCGCTTGCAAGCACACGGTCCTCCTTTTGCGAAGTCATGCAGACAGTTTGTGTTTCAGTTTCAAAGTTAAAAATAGAAAATTGTTTTACTTTTGAGCTTTCCTATGTATTTCTATAATTCAGCTTTGTTTTCGAAAAAGTCAAATTTAGCCTAACGTTAAGTTTTGCTATCAACGTGCTTAAATTATGAGCTTGATATCCGTTGTATATATGATGAAAGACAATGTTGCAGCAGCGTCTCAGCAGACATGTGTGCATGTATGGTTGTTCACATTGTGGTTTTGATTGTCGTGTCAGAGCTTCCAGACAGATGTAGGCTCATGATTAATAATGGTCGGTTTGCCTGAGGCAGATGTGGGCAGAGAAGTCTGAATCTGTTCATTGCAATGAAAACAATGTAGAGTTCAAGTGTAATTTTTATTCTCAATTTCTCTCCTTCACTTAAGAGGTATACGGTCTTCATTTGGTCATTAATTCTTGCACTTCTACAACAACAATGTGCAAAAAGAAAAAAGAAGAAATAAAAACATTGAGCATGTGTTTCCGGTTAGTGTTTGTTGTCTCAGATCACTTTTGAGGAACTGAATATACTTTAAAGAATTAGGTTTTCTTCTGTGGCTCTGCACTCCACTTGGGTTGATGTAGGCGAGATGAAAAGCAGGCACTGGAAAATGAACACTTACATTTTTAAATTTAAGTTTGGCAGGGAATATCAATATTTATCGTATCACGACACATTCATTATTTTCAATGGTCTTTGGCTCACAGGTATAAATAATGTCTGTGGACTTTGTATTTACAGATCACATTTCACAATCTTGCATCCACTGAATGGCTTATGGACACTAATAAATGAAGCGGTGTTTTCTCTGCATTTTTCTGAGGTCTGGTTCTGAGTACGGCAAGATTAACTATTAGTGTTGCAGACAGAGAGGTGGTAAAACATGATCTATGAGACAAAGAAGGAAAGGCAATGTATGTCTAGTTTACTGTTGCCTGTCTCGCATAAGCATTATTTAGCAAGTTTGTCAAACTATGACCCTGATCTTAATGTTATCTATTACCTCCCACTCACACTTTTCATACCGTGCAATTGATGCAGACAGCTGGAAACTATTAGGTTCAGTTATCCAATTAGAGCTAATCTCAGGCAGACACTGACACATTGTTACAGATTTATTGTCAAATTTATTGCCAGTATGCTCTCTGTTGGTTGTAAAATGTTTAAAAATACAGCTATGAAAAACAAAAATCATCTCCTGCTGCTGGAAAGGTTTTAAAGCGTTCTCTCAGGATTATGCAAGTTGATACTGCTGAATTAACAGTAACATGACTGTTACATACTGCCATTGAAGTTTATAAGCATTAATTGACAGCTCAATAAGAATCATGTGAGTATTTAACCTATTGTAATCTCTATTTTAAAGGCTGTTTCCTCCAGTCTACAAATCGATGCCCTTCATAGTGTCACTATGGGAACTCCTGAAGCGACTCATCTGGTCAATACCTGGCTCAATAAAGTTGTTTTCGCTAGAAATTTTCCCAATTATCCCATTTGTGAATAATGAAAAACAAATGGCAGGCTTTTGGTTTTTCCTGTTTTTTAGGCTTTTTTTTAAGTGAGCAACTGTATCAGCAGCAGCATGGGCTCGATTTAATCACTAATGTTTTAACTTATTCATAAAAGGTTTCCATTAGGGCAGATGCCATATGCCCATCTCAGTCATCAGATCTGTATTGATTCCTGTGTGTGTGGTTAGGGAGTGCAAAAAAAATCCATGATAAATTCCAGCTAGCCGCTTTTGAAAATATTATTTGTATCTAAAAAAATAAATAACAGCTCGAATGAGGTCATACTAATTCTTCAGTCATTGATCTTCTGAGTAGTTTTACCCACCATACGGCCGTCTAAGTAAGGTGGAAGGCTAGAGGCTGGAAAGTTGGAAATTGAATGACAGTAAATGTCACCCTGTGAATGTTGTTTCCTTCTTTTCAGTTATTTAAATAATAAAGTTATTTGTTTTAATCGTTTTCAAACCATCAGCATTCTGATATATGACGTAGGGATCCAAAATAATTTGCTAGTAAAGAAGGAAAAGCATCAGAAAACATTTACAATGAGCACACTTTCAATGGACAAAGTTAACCATTGTCCAATGAGCTCCATGAAATATGAGTCAAGTTTCTTGATAACCAAACATGTTTTAAATGTAGCTGAAATGTGCGTCGTGTATGAGATTAGCACACACAATGATTAAATTACAGTGTTTGGCGAGCTTTAACAGTGCTAGCAGCAAGAACCTCGGTTTCTGCTAGCATCATTATGCGGTTACACATTGCTTTGGCTGCGTGGTTAGATTCCAGTTTATTCTGACAAAGCCGACGTATAAGCTGCTCATTTTTTAATATCTGAGTACTGCAAAACAGCGCTGCTATCGTCTGTTTACTTTCCCCCGTGCTTGTGTACATCTTCCATTCACAGAGAATAATACTTTTACCCAAATATTATTTCTAGTACGGACCATCAAGACAAGCAACGTTTAAACATCTAGTCGACTAGTCGCCCACAGCCGCAGTATAAAGTTTGGCATCTCCTTTGCACATTTGTCAAATGTAGACCAAAGATTAAACACTGCTTAGTGGCAGTAGCAGTGAAATAGCAAATAAAAATAAAATTTCCATTTTTATTTTGTTTAAAAAATGAACCTTTTTCTTTTTGATTCTTCTCACAGTAGATACGTCATGTTACCGTTGATTTAAGAGCCTCAATTACTTTAATGTTAAGTCTTTGGACTTCATATAACTCCTGTTGAACCCAGTCTTTCTTTCACTCTGCTGGGGCTAGTGATATACAAATCTGACAGGAGCACAGTTTGTTCTGTGATTTGAAAAAAAGAAAAATGGAAATATCAATTTGCTTCCAATAGCTGTGAGCTAACTGGGCAAGAGGGCTGATTGCTGGGAAGATGATGAACAGCAGGCAGCTTTAACACATTTACAGGGCATCATTCCTCCAAGAATCATCACAGCGCTTCATAAATCTGGATTGTTTGACAGGCCTGGACAAGAGAAATCACACAGAGTGAAGTTTTCAAAATGCTATGTGGAACAGTATGCAGCACACAGTTCTTCTGTTAAAAGACACAAAAATTTCATTGGTAAACTATTTGTCAGGTCATAGATTTAAGAAAGATTGAGGTATTAGTTAACAAAATGTTATGAAGACAAATTTCACAGGATATTCTGCTTTTAGTTCAAGAACATTTAGATGCATGTTCGTTGTTCCCCTGCAGGACTTAAACAAGCGTACAACTAAATATTATAACAATAGTTTCCAAACCGCCTGGAGTTCTTACATGCATTAACATGCCCAGTCATAGCCAAAGCTTGAATGCCATTGAAAATATGCAGAATAACAGGCTTTTGGTGTTTTTTTTTTCAGGGCCACTCCTATTTGCATCCAACTGGATCCAGATTGAGAAAATTAGTGTGGATGAAGAGGGGAATTTCCCAAATCCAGACAGATCCAGAAGATTGAAGTTAAAATGCCTTCCAGAGGTTGTCTAAAATTAAACCAAAAGTTGGGAATCTCAGTTGAATTCTTTAATTCTGCTAAACTACCAACTTGAGCGACTAGCTGGAGAAAGAACAAGAGCTAAGCATCCAGAAAGATCTCACACAAACACCAGGTGAACATGCAAACCCCACATAGAAAAAATAGATGGCAGACTTGAACTCAGGTTGTTCTTGCTGTGAGGCAACCAGGCTAACCACTGTGCCACCTCTATAAGCAATGCACTTGTGTTTTCTTGTTAAAACCTCCTGCACGACCCTTCTCGCTCCCCATCTTCTCTATGGGAAAACTGTTTCCACACCATGTAGGAGCGAGGACAGGAGGAAGCATAAACTAGAATGGAAAGCACTCTGTGTGACATTAACATACGATACCATTACCTTTGCATGTGTTTAGGTTGCTGTTAGAAGCACAGTCCACGCAGCATGGGCGTCGTACTTACATGTGTAAAAGTACTTATGCTATGACAGAGTTGAAAATAAGAACCTTTTTTGTTTCTGTGGTATTTTAACCCTGTTGTGAGGTTTAGTGTTGTCTCTAAAAGGAAAGATGATGCTTTGCAATCAGCAGCTGACTTTGTGAAAAGAACAAAGAGGATTCCTTTCCTTTGTGCCTATAAGCAGATACACACATGCAAACATCTATACAGTGTTGGGGAGTTTCCTTGAGAGATTATTAGTTGTCTTGTTGAAACTATATCGAGTCAAGTAATTGTAATTGCTTCATCAGAGTAAAATGTGTAATTAATTACTTTGGATTGCTTTTGTAAAAGTGGGCACTGGGGCATCTTCTTTTTGCTGCTGGTAAGCACGCTCTATGTTGTACACTTAAGGCTTTTTCTGATTACAGAATGGAAACATTGTTAAAGTTTAACCACCCACAAGAAAAAAAGGGCACCAATAAAATAAAATAAAAACTTAAAAATTAAGCACATATTGCCTGATCAATCAAGTAATTCGTTCACAAAAAATATGTAAAACAATTTAATCAATGTTTGTTTCGATTTCTACACAAACAGTTTTATTTTTAACATACATAACATACTCAAAAGTAACTCAATAAAAACAATAATTGCTATAAAATAAGCATTTATTTTGTGCACATTACAAATGCGCATGCATGTGCACGCATTTATTTGTATTTCAGTAGTCAGATGGCTGCAGGCTTGTTGATCTTGCTTTTCTTTGTACTACCTGTAGTTTTATCCTGTTTGCCTTACCTTTGAACTCATTCTGAAATCGGACAACATATGATGCCAACGAATCTCCTGAAGAAACCTTTTGATGTGCCAGTTAAGTGTGGGAGCTGGAGAACATGGCTTTGGGCTCCAGTACAATAGGAGGTGAGCAGCTGTGGAAGAGGTCTTTAATGGCTGAGGAATAGAATGAATGGAAGAGGCTAAAGACAGATGTGGAGCAGATGGGGGCAGCTGCAGCAGTCATCATCTGTTCATGTGTTTTTGGTTCCCCGAATGAAAAATTGTTTGTGACTGATGATGATTAAGTGCTTAACTGAACCTTGTACTGTACTCTGCATGCTTGATTGAGCTCGAAATGCTTTGGCACTGTTAATGAATACCTTTAGTAGATACTTTTTTAATAGACTTTTTTGTGACTTTCAACTCTGAGAATGTGAGCCATAACTATAGCTGCTTATTTGCACATCCAACAAGGTGTGAAGCAGCCTAAGCACTTATTTAATGTTGTGTTTCTGAATGCGTCCCTCAGTTGTATCCCCGTGACCAACTCCTGAAGTAAAAATAAATCTGTTCCTTTAGCTGCTATATGTTCTGTTTACCATCTAGTTTCTGACATTTTTGGTCTGCTGTTTGGTGCAGGCTAGGTGACTCTCAGAGGATCTTCTTTTGTGCTGAAAACAGCTGTCTTGAGTCTGGCTGATAATTCACTGTGGATTTGTGGCTATGAGAGACTCTTCTATACAAGTCATTTTTTGTCTCAAATCTAAACGTCAAAACAGTGATTGTTGCGCTTTTGCGCGTCATTTATTTCCTGTATATGGCACTTTTTTTTCTCTGTCCTTTGAATGATCTCTCTACTTCCAGCCAGATTGTCTACCACACATTTCTCTGCAGTTACATATTGAATACTTCAGTGGTAAAACTGGAAGGACAAGACATTATGAAATGTAACAGTTTCACACTACCGCTGCACTCTGGCTAATGCTTGAGGTTACAGGCACCTTAATTCTGCAGCATTTTTTTAAAGATAATTGATGGTAATACAGCTGGAGTCTATCCCACCTACCACAGGGCGAGAAGTGGGAGTACACCCTGGACAGGTCAGTCTAACCAAGGCCAATACAGAGAGGCAGGCAACCAGTTGCACTCACAGCTGGATTACCCAGCAAGAATTATTTGCTATTATTTATGGTAGATACAGTAAAATGTCTTGTAGAGGAACCAGTGATCCACTGTATGATTCTATATGTGTTTAGGCTGTTAGTATTGCATATACATTTGTTGATAAATTTTCTTCCTACTGATCTTACTGTGCATGGTCACTAAACCTATGTGGCTGAGGCCTTGACAATTAAAGCAAAAGATCAGCAACTCTAGGAAGGATTCAGTTCTTTTCCACTTGCTAATCCTTATGGGGAACATAGGCATTTGGTCCAAACAGATGCAAGGTGTCATGCTTTAGTGTGCCTGTGTGCATACAAGAGAAAGTACCAGCACCCCTTTTTTCAGTTAGCCATTTGCTGCATATACATTCACTTTGAGAGCTCTTGGTAGTTGGGTAGCTTTTTTTTTTTTTGCCACGTGTGTGCACAGTTATTTGCCTTTCTGTCAACAGTGTCATTGTTCACACGCTGTTGTGTGAAATGTGCTCCACACCCAAGTTTAGAGTTTCTCAACCTTAGGGCTTGTGTAGTCGCTTCAGACTGTGAGGAAAGTCACAAGACGAGGAAAAAGTTTATATAGAACAAATGATATAAAATGATATGTTGGTACATACAGTAATCACATTTCCCCCAGGCATACATTGTGTAATTAAAAATGTATTTTTGATTTGAAAAACAGAGGTGTGACTGTTTCATAATGGCTCCACAGTGTAGTGGTTTACACGTTCACCTAACAAGCAAAAAACCCCTGGTTTTATATGCAGGTGGAGACACAAATCTCCGCCTGGGCATCCAGAGTTAATTCAAATCCATTTTCATATCCACTTATCAAAACACAACCACTTATCTGTGTTTTACAATTGATAATTAGCTTAAGTAAACACAGCTAAGTCTAGTCTCCTTATGTTAGCAGCTCCAGAGAACAATAGGATTCTTGTTTTATACTCCGCCTTGTTTGCAGCATTAGGAGATAAGCGACCTGGCACAATGGCACAGCAGTGAAATACAACACCCTCATATCAAACAGACGATAACAATGGCAGAATAGGCAGAGCATCTGTTGATGTGCTGAAGGACACTTGAAAAGGGAAGCAGTTGACACTCGAGTTCAATAATGTGGTGAAACCCTTGCTGCAGTTAAAAACCATTATCATAGCAAGGCTGGTTTTTAGCGTGGCCAACTAAATGACTGCTTCGGGTGATCCCTGAGTTGGCCACGCTGCCTGCTGGAGGGGCCCCAAAAGAGGAAGGAAGAAAAAAACTTTGTGAGCTGTAAAAACTGTTAACAGTTCGGTCAACAGTCTACAACTGACTGACTCTCACATAACCTGCTTTTAATTTAATCGTCCAGCTGAGTAAGAATCATGTATGACTAACCAGGTTACTGATATTTCTTGTAAAGACCTTTCTCATCTCAGTAAATCCTATTAATGTGTGCATTTTATGTGCTCAGGTGTGCCCTCAGCTTGGGTCATGAGGAAGTCTTTTGAAGTCTTTTAAAGAGAAAAGAAAATCTCCATGAGAAAGCAAAATAATTTTGCTAGTGTCACAGTGAAAAATGTAATACAAATTTCCCGTTACAGAAACTGCTGGCTCAGTAGTGCAGTGGTTAACATGTTTGCGCAACATGTGGAAGCTTGCTGGTTTGATTCCAGCTGGAGAAACTGGTGCAGAGCTCTGCTAACCCAAACATGTTAACCTGCTGTAGTGGTACCTTATCACAAAGGAGCGGCTGAAGGTTTCTTCTTCTATTAATGAAATCAGAGCATTGTTCTAACTATTCAACACGGAGACAGGATACGTCAGCATCTGTACTTTCCACACATCTCATAAAGTTATAGAATTACAATGAAGTCATTGATCTAGGATATCAATAAATTAAAAAAATGTTTGTGGGTGGAACTGATGGATGAGGGGTGGGGGGGACACATCAATGAATCCTCTTTATGATTCTTTCCAAAATGCATTTCAGCTGTGCGTGGATTCACTTCTGCCTTCAAACACATCTAAGACAGAGTATGTAGACAACAGGGACTAAACAAACGAAACAACATAATTGCAACCAGACAGTAGTGACGAGTTGGTGGTTTGAAATTTTGGGGGTCACTGCACCCTGGCTAATGTTTACTTCTGCAGCGAACTTGAGAATATGATGGGAAGTTTCCTCTGCTCTCATCTTCTCCCAGAGAGTCCTGCAAAATCCTAAAAATACATCATGTCGGCAGATAGCCAGTCCACATAGGGTGTATTTGTATAGTTTTAGATGTGTGACCCTCACTGATGGAAATGAGACTTAACTTCCTAAGTAGAGGAACTGTTTTTTTTTAAATTACAGACAAGTTGCTGTTGATAAACATTGTGCACAAGTGACATGGCGAGGTACTTTTTTAATTGTGTTTTTTTTTTCTGTAACACTCAAACTGAAATGAATGCATGTAGTTTAAAAAGCTGTGATATAAAATATCTAACTTTCTTCTTCCTGTCATGTTTCTTCTACACAGAACAGAACTAGAAACCGAGACAGAATCATTCAAAACTTTTATTCAACAGTTATTAAGCGATAGTTAATGAATAACATGTGTGTGTGTGTGTGTGTGTGTGTGTGCGAGCGCGAGTCTGTTATCTGGGAATAAAGACTGAAAACATAAGGAATCAACTAGCTGGCTTCACTTCTCACTCTTTGTGTACATTATGTCTCATTTGGTTAATCTGTCTCGCAGTTGTGTAACAGTTAGCTTTGCTTTAGAGTCTGTTCTGTGTGCTTCGATAGTGCCGTAATCCAGACTTCAATCCTTGTTATTATCTTCTGTTTGAGAGGTTTCCTTTGATGCTGCTATGCTGCTGATCCCCAGCTGACACACACCCAGCACGCAGCCTGGCACGTAGATTCTTGGTCCCAGCAGCTCAGTGGGAAAAACTAAGAGATGGACAATGACAAGGAATCATGCTGAATCACAGCTGTTCTGATCAGGATGCCAGTTATAAATTTAATCAAAGATCCAAATAAACATTCAAACACAGCACTTAGCAATAGTCACTTACAGACTTCATAAAGGAAGTGCTTTGTGGTTATTTGGAGCTCGCATTAGCAGGATAAATGAATTATGCAAACCGCTTTGATAACCTTTAAAACTGCACCATACAGGGGGTGAAAACCACATAGCGATGCAGGTGTAACTCTCTTGGCTGTGTTTAACCAGAATAGTGTTGCAATATTGTTGCTAATATGCTGCGCTTTTACTTTAATGAGGTTTATAATGCAGTGTTTTTACTATAATAATGAAGCTAATCCCAAAAATATAACAACTAAAGACGGTGAGGGATTTATTTGGCTTTGGTTTGCTGTTAGAACCAGTTTGGAAAAGCCCAAAATAAAGGCCTGCTGTGCGTGTTAAGACCTGGAATTCTTCTTTGTATGTCACGCGCTCCTCGTTGTGGACAGCATCCATTCATTTAGTAGTGCTAAAAAATATCCAAAATATAGGACGAGAAAGTAGGTCTACGATTTACAGAATTATAATATGGTAGCTCAAAAGACAGGCTTAATGTAAGTAATGTATTCTTTCGTTTATGGTTGCGTCTTCAGAACGTTTAAAGTTTTTGGAAACAAACGAATTTAAATGTAAAAAATGCATATTTTACTTTCACTCTCCTGTCACTGTTGTGCAATAAAGGTGATGAGCTGGATCAAAATGACCTCAGTTAAAAAAGGTCGACTTTACCTTGTGCGAAAGTGATAAAAACACACAGTCACTTCCAGTGATGTTCGTCTAATAAATATAGTCAACACAAAAGCAACAGTTGTCCGCTGAACAGACTTTATTGGCATTGCAGTAAAGTGAGGAAATCACCTGTCAGCTGCTGTGGGTGGAAACAGTGTGCTAATCATAACCTCCTGTTTTTATTTTACTGCTGTATAGATTCATAACTATATGAAAGTTAGTCTGGGATGACAAGCAATAAAATAATTCTGTTTTTTTGAAAGGTCGTCTGAATCGTGGCTTTATCAGCTACAAAGTGCTTAAAACATAGAGCGCTCACCGGCTACCTCCACCCCAGCTGGTTGTGTCACCCTTTGACTACGTGACCATGTCACATATCATCACATCACCAGAGTTAATATAATGCCATAACAGGGATGGAAGATCAATAAATCAAACAAAAAAATAGGACTGATCAAGGGCGTAGATTTGGTTTTGGCCTTGGTGGGGACCGAACTCTTTTTTCCTTTTTGTCTTTGCTTCTTGATAAAAGGAGGAATATACTTGCCTACATATGCTATTATACATGCTTTTAAACCATTTAAAATTACAATTCATAGTTTTATATGTGAATTATATAATGTTAAATTACTATTAAACAAATCACTGACTAAGTATTTTAGGCTTTAGTTTACTTCAGTCATATTCCATTAAATCAGGTATCATACAAAAATAAAAACAGCTTCAAATACAGTCATGACAATAAATGAATATGACTTTAAGGACTTAACAACATTAGTTCAGTTATACTACACCAACATCTGTTATACTTTGGCACTAAGGCACACTGAATGACCTGGTGGTTTTTGTCCATCAACTACTCGTCTAAGATCATTACAAAGTAAAAGATCTCTCAGCAAAATTGTGCAACATTTTAGGCACTATTGCCCCGATCAGATCAGTGAGCTGGGATGTTTTATTCTAAACACGAACTACTGTTACAGCAACAGACATGGACTACTGGTATCCCACACAACAACTCAATGTCCGCTATGTGAAGCAGCCAAACACATGCCTGCTCCTCTCGTTAACTGAGATAAACTGCTGGCATGTTTGTTTTACATCTATACTGTCCAGTCTCTCCTGGTGGACCTTACCCATCTTTTTAGTCTTCTGAGAGCACTGAAGCTTCTTTCAGCCTCAGTACCTGCATTTTATCCTCAGATTAAAATTATTATTCTGTGCTTGATGTGCCTCACCTTTGGCCCTGGCTCTTCCCCTCTGACTGCACTAGGACATATTGCACCTGATAAAATAACACATTGATTTGTGCCATATAAAAAGTGAGACATGTCAATTCAGATTCTTTGTCAAATATACACTAATGAATCAATTTACATCAGCAGCCTAACAATTGTCATGATAATAAATACTAGTTAATCTATAGCACCAAATCATCAGTCAGTCACCTGTGACCTCGCCTCTTCACCTCTGTCCGAGCTACAACATGGCAGAGCTGCCTCTGTCACCTGATGAATAACAGTGAGACATTCCAAATACATGCAGTCACACATGTGCTTCAAATACAGTCATGAACCAACAAGTCATCATCCAATTTCACCTGTGATCTTGTTCACCATTGCTCTCTGAGCTTTGTGTTGGTTCTTCTGTCACCTGACAAATAGGACATACATGACAATAAGAATAAAATGTGCAGCTGCTTCAGTGTTTCTGTCACTTTGTGCAGATCTTGACTCATCAGTAATGTTTGTAGTGAGTGCATTTTTAAAACAATTTGTGCAAACTGCACTACAAGGTGGAATATTTGCAAAATCATGACTACCTCATGATATTTTGTCTCAAAAATTAACCCTATGAATATGTCAGTGCCATTAGGATGAAATTATTGTGTCACCAACATTTTAACGTTAGACATATAATTTAACAGCCTCTGTAAACTAATATCCTGGCTGCTCGAGGCTGCTGTTTTCTCTGACAGTTTCAATCAAAATTAGAAATGCTGCTCTGAGACTGAGAGAACTAATAGTGCTGCCTGTTGTGCAGTTAGTTTCCAAAACACGTTATTCATGGTTACATACAGTTTTAGACTGATGTGGGCCAAAGCCTAGCATAGCCTGTAACGTTATTGTGACGGACACATTTTATGAGTGAACTTGACTTTAAGTGACTTACAGGTTTCTTTGAAAAACACTTTCTTATATCCAGGTTCTTCCTCTTTGTGCCGTCTTCCTCTCCTCCTCGCAGCGCAGGTTTGCCGCTGCTAAATAGTGGTGTGCGGATCGATACTGAAATATCGATTCTTCCGATACCAGCAATTTATGTTCTAGAATCGATTCTCATATTATAATATCGATATTTTAGTACTCTGGGGTAAATTTGTAGTTTTTCCATTAAAATGAACGCAGTGGAAAGAAACTATACATTCGGATCGTCTAATTTGGAAGGAACTACTTCCTCTTACGCCTTTCATAGTCATATGCGAAATACGGCTGTATAAATGTGTCGCAGCCCCTGGCGTGCACACTCACAACAATGGCTGAGCGCAAACAGAGTCATGTGTGGACGCGTTTTACCTCCACAAACAGCCCAGACGCGGTTTGTGATATATGTGGCAAGACAGTGAGGTGTTGTGGCAACACCACTGACCTCGTCAAACACCTCAGAGTAAATCACATCACAGAATATGATGAGCTTATGTTGAGGCGAACTGAAGAGGAGGACAGGTGCTGCTAGGGCGAGACAGACGTCTCTCGCAGAGTCCTTTAGTGCTGCAGGCAGGCAACATGCTCAAATAGCGCACAACGTCAGTTTTTTTTTTATATGATTATTCTGCATTATTAAGCAATAAAAACAAGTTGTCTGATGTCCTCTAATCATTATGAAGCAATATGGTTATGTTATTATTACAATTACATAATACAATTATATATTGTATTATGTAATGCAATGAAACATTAAGTTTTTGTACAGAGTATCGGTATCGGATCAGTATCACCGATACCACCCTGAATTTTACTTGGTATCGGATCGGAAAGGAAATCAGTGGTATCGCACATCACTACTAAACAGAGCTCCCTGAAAGGCACAGCCAATCACATTGGCCATATTTGTCACATGACGTAGGACTCCAGTAGAGGACGTAATTTAACTCTTTCTGCACCGCTGGGTGAATGAGACGCTGACACAGTTTTTTCTTTCTATCGGGTTTGTTTTTCTTTACTCGAATAGATCAAATTATTGGTGGGGACACGTACCTTCCGACCATGCCAAATCTACGCCCTTGGGACTGATGTTTTAAAGCAACAGCAAATTAGTTCCAGTGGATGTTTTTCACTGCTAACAGCAACAAGGGATTTAGTTCATAGTCCTCGGTTATGTGCGGTTAATTTACATGGATGACGTCCAGATGGCTCTCTGTGAAAGAATGTCGCAACCAGGATTAAATTCATCTGGCTGCACTAGTGACATTAAACACAGCCTCAGTCAACAACAGTTACACTTTACTGTGAGCAATTCTGTTCGATTTGAAGTTATTTCAAAAGATACACTCCTGCTGTTTTCAAAGGGCATATATGACCCTGTCAACAATACACGAAAACACAGTAGCATCATGTCTGTGAAGGTTCTCAGTCATCCAGGTCACCGTAGTCTAAGGAAAGAAAAGCGTCTGGACTTCTTTAAGTTTCTTGAAGTTTTAAGTTTCAAGAAACTTAAAGAAGTCCAGGCGCTTTTCTTTCCAAGCTCTTTAGACCACAGCAGCATCAGATACAGCAGAGAAAATGAGCATTTTTATCTCCAATGAAGAGGAAGTGTCGGTCTACAGCTTCTTCTGTTGTAACACTCTCAAGGTTTTGTAATTTGCCTAGCTAAAACACTGTGCCTCATATTTTACACTGTCCAGTTGGAAAAGTGGGGTTTTATGGTTTCACGGTTACTTCCACTTCCTCTTTTGGGGAGTTTGAGAAGTGTAATTCTGACACCAGCCTCTTTTTATCAGTTGTTAAGCAAACGACAACTCCTACACATTTGGCACATCCTGCTCCCGAGACAGGATTTAATTGTGAGAGAGTTCAGAGTGACAGCTTTATTTGGCCCTGAATTCTAAAGAGATTATAAAGGTTTGTCTTAAAACTTTTATGAGTTTTCCACGAACTTAGAAAGCATGTAATGTATAAGACATTGTGTACTTTTTAAAACAGGGGTCATTTTTTGGCGATACCAAGGCATGCGTGTTAAATGTAATATTACTTTGCCCTGTGGTCTTTGCAGACAGTTGAATTGATGTGTGAGTGTTCAGAGAGTCCATTATTCTCAGAAGTCATTTATAGATGATGATCATAAAAGGTTTAATGTTTTCAGGTGCAGTAGTTCACTGTAGTGTTGGGCACATCTTAGAGAGGAAGCTCACTAATGGACCGTAAGTGTAGACAGTGTAATTCCCCTAATGAAGCATGTCTGATTATATCAATATAGACTGACTATACTACCGTCACTTATTGCAGCATATAGTTTTTTGTCTTCTGGAAATGTCTTTCATGGAAATGAACAGCTTAATAATAATCTCCAAAGACTGGGATGTGTTTTCTGTGAAAAAGTCAGTAAGGAAAACAAATGTTACCATTAAGCCGTTGTACATGCACCAGAGATGTATATCCTGCAGACGGTGTCGGCAGGAAACACCCACTCATTTTTCCTCTCTGTACGTTCTCCTTAACCTCAAATGTCAGAAAACACGCAACAAAAAAACCTGTCTACCCTTGCATTATAGTGCCACACTGAATAATTCACCAACTACAAAAACAAAACAACTTCAGGATCTCAGGAGATAAGCATCCTCAGACAGCCTTTATGTCACTAAGCCTCGTACTGCTCTGTTTAAGGCGTTCAGGAGAAATAACACAGAAAACACTCCTGCATAGCTGTTAGTGGAAATCCTATAATCTCCAATGATCAATGGATCAATGAACTTTAGTGTGCTGTGGTGAACCTTTCGCTGACCTTCCAGCGGAGTTACGAGAAAATAAATCTGCTGTCATGTTTTGAATGAATCTTTTGATAAATACACACGGGCAGAAAACAGGGATAAGGTTCGTTGATGTGTGAAGTTGAAGAGAAGTGACAACTCGGAAAACTAAACAGGGGAAAAAACACTTGGGTGAACTCACATTTCCACCAATTTACTGCATGTGGAAAAATGTCACTAAAAGTAAA